GGGGCGAGGGACTGCTCCGGCCACCGCGGGGGTGAAACAGCAGCAAAGTTCCGGGATTCCTGGAAAAAAACAGCACAAGGATGGTTTTGTCCAGCCTGCCAACACCGGCAGGCCTTGTGGGCACCGGGGGTGCGTTTGCCGTGCTCCCCCCGGGAAAACATCCCCAGCCCGGCCCCTCCTCCCCCGTGTGCTCCGAACGTCCTTCCCGTTGCCGATTTGTTTCTGTTTTATTTATTTTTGTGGGTTTTTTTCCGGGCTGAGCCATGTCTCCCATCAGCTGCCTTGGACGGGAGGGTCTGTGCCTCCCTGGTGCCCCCCATTTTTTGGGGGTCCTGCCCAGGACACAGCATCCCACCGGGTGCCGATGCGTGGGCTTCTCCTGGGAAGCGGCCAGCCCTGCGTCGCAACGGGACGGCCCCTGGGAAAAACACCCCGTGTCGCTGCGGGGTTTTAAAAAAACGCGATTATTTTTACAGCAATTTTCCATCTATTTTAGGTAGGAAGGAAAATGTCAAGGAGAATCTCTTTTTATTAGTATTTTTTGAGTCTTTACGGTAACTCTGCTTTTAACACACACCTTTGAAAGTCCCGTTTGATGGCGCGGACCCCATGGGTGCTAAGGGGGTGGGCTCCGCAGCCCACCGGACCTGCTGGTGGATTAAATTCCAGCTTCTCCACCGTAATAAGAAATATTTTCCAGCTATGCATCGCTTCCATCCGCGCCTGGACATTTGAAGGCATTAAACAGGATGGTGCCGTGCGGCGAGGTGGAAAATCCTCTCTTGGCAATGAGGGGTGAGGTGGACCCCAAAACTTGTGACCAGCTGCTTAAGTATGTGGAATTAAATATGTGCTGGCCAGAAATATGCAACGTATATTGCATTAAATATATGCTGGCCAGAAGGCAGCTTAAATCGTGGCTGCAAAATACATGTTGGCTAAAGAAATTTCTCGCTGGTGCGTTAACAGGGTATTTTGTAGCCGGGCAGCTACTTGCTTATTTTAAATTTTTGAAGATTATTTTTAACGAAAAAAGGGGGAAAGCAGCCTAAGAGAGCACTTCCCCCCTTATTTTTGAGAGGCACTGCTCGGGGACCGAGCACTGCCAGGTCCCGGCGGGCAGGCAGGGAGCAGGCAGGGCTGGAGAGAGCCCAGCGGCGGGGTCACCCCATGGCGGGGGGGCTCTCCCGGTGCCCCCGATGCCTGGGCTGGCGCCCTGCCCGGGGATTGTTGCTGGGCTGAATGGACGGCGGACGGGGTTTTCCGGGGATTGGAAACCCTTCCCCTCCGCCACGCTCGCTGGGGGGGCCAGGAGGGGTCCCCTCCGCCCCGTCTGGGTGGGAATGGGGGTGCTGGGGCACCCGTTGGGCACGGTGGGAGCTGGGGGGGCACGGCTGGCAGTTTCCTGGCCCCTCCGTGAGGCGAAGG